TTAATTAAGTATAAAATGGAAGTAACCCTGCTGATCCTTGATTCTATAAAATGTCAGTAATCTTCCTAAAATTATCATATAATGAAAAAATATCTTACATATTCTCAGATTAGCACAAGACATCTAGGTTTCCAGAGTTTTGAAGAAAAAGATAATTTGGATTTTGTAGGCAATTAGATATTATTAATAATTCACTTAGTATTTAGAGTACACCTCAAAGGGGTAACTCCAACATAAATATATTATCTCAGATAAATCAAAGATTTTGTTTCACTAGTTTTATATTTAACTTTATATATATAAATTTAACTAGTTCTGTATTTCAGTGTTGGATGAAGCTTTCAATGAATGCTTTAACTACATACAGGAAAACAGATGACTGAAAACAGAATCAGCAAACCTAAACAAATTACCTACTTCAACTGAATATGGGCAAACCTAGGCTATTTAATTAACCAAGATCTCCAAGACCTAACTAAGCTGTCATCCAGATGACTGCCATATTTCATGCCAAGAATTTCTGCTTGCAACCCAAGTCCTGAATATTTCATCATTCTACTATTAAAATAACATTTACTGACCCCTTCTCTAGTCAAAACACTTCCACTAAGACCTGGAAGAGCTTTGCTTTCTATCAGGTCCTGCTCCATAAACCCTTCTCCTTTCCAGCTTAATGCCTCAAAGACCACCCCACATACCCTCTTACCAACCATACTACTAACCCAAGCTTCCTTCTATTTCCTACTAAGAATTTAAGTTTTCTCTTCATTCAAGCAATTCCCCCCCAAAAAAATCTCCACAAGGGTAAATTTGAAAAAAATATTTTCCTAAAATAGTTACTCTCAAAAGAACAATCTTTTTTTTTTTTTTTAAAGATTTTATTTAACAGAGAGAGGTCACAAGTAGGCAGAGAGGCAGGCAGAGAGAGAGGGGGAAGCAGGCTCCTGGCTGAGCAGAGAGCCCAATGCGGGGCTCGATTCCAGGACCCTGAGATCATGACCTGAGCTGAAGGCAGAGGGTTAACTCACTGAGCCACCCAGGCACCCCCAAAGTAACAATCTTTTGAGTCTTCACTATTCAATATGTACTTTCTCAGATTTGTTTGATATTGCATTTTCACTTAATATATTTCTTCCCCAAACATCTAGTTTTTCAATGTGTTGCCCCCATAACTATAGGCTATCTAAGATTATTAGCTTCCAGAGGTCTGGCATCAAACACCAACTCACGTGAAATTACCCATGAATGCCATGCTAGATTAAGCATAAATGTTTAATAAATGTTTTTGCTGTTGAGCTTCTGAATTCCAGATTTTATCTTTTAAAGGTCCGATCCTTTACACCTTGAGACAGTCTACAAGTCACTGTAAGGAGAGAGGATAATCTAGTAGTTATGAGTAGGCTCTGCAGTCAGAAAGCTTAGGGTCAAATTCTAAATCCAATTCCTGTTATCTGGAACAAGTAACCTAAACCCTCTAAACTTTTTTTTTTTTAAGACTTTATTTATTTGACAGAGAGAGAGAGGGAGATAGTAAGAGAGGGAACACAAGCAATGGAGTGGGAGAAGCAGGCTTCCCAGCGGACCCTAGGATCATGACCTAAGCTGAAGGCAGATGCTTAATGACAGAGCCACCCAGGTGCCCTAAGCTTTTGGTTTTCTTGTGTGTAAAAAAAAGTCAATCCAACAGTATTCATCCCCAGAAGGTCTATAAGATTAAAATTTATAATATATGTATATATCTATGTGTGTACCTGGAAAACAGCAACATTTAATGTTATTAAATTTTTAAAAAGACATTTCCTTTATAAAACTTAGCTACACAGCATACAATATTCATGTGAAAAGAAATATTGCTATACTTTCATCTAAATGCAAAGGAAAACAGGTAGAAATAATCTTCTCTAAAGTAACAATGGTAACTATTCTCAGAGATCATGTAACCCTATCTCCTTTGCCTAGGAGAATTCTGAACACTTGTTGTCCCAACATTAATAGTAGTCTCCTCCAGACAGGAATCCATCAAAATCCCTGAGAACACAGGCAGCAACCTCTTCGACCTCAGCTGCAGCAATTTCTTCCTAGAACATCACCAAAGGCAAGGGGAAGCAAGGGCAAAAATGAACTATTGGGACTTCATCAAGAGCAAAAGCTCTTGCACAGCAAAGAAACGGTCAACAAAACCAAAAGACAACTGATAGAATGGGAGAAGATATTTGCAAATGACATATCAGATAATGGGTTAGTATCCAAAATCTATAAAGAACTTACCCAACTCAACACCCAAAGAACAAATAATCCAATCAAGAAATGAGCAGAGGACATGAACAGACACTTCTGCAAAGAAGATATCCAGATGGTCAATAGACACATGAAAAAGTGCTCCACATCACTTGGCATCAGAGAAATACAAAACCACAGTGAGATACCACCTCACACCAGTCAGAATGGCTAAAATAACTCAGGAAACGACAGGTGTTGGCAAGGATGCAAAGAAAGGAGAACCCTCCTATTATTGGTGGGAATGCAAGCTGGTGCAGCCACTCTGAAAAACAGTATGAAGGTTCCTCAGAAAGTTTAAAATAGAGCTACTCTACAACCCAGCAATCACACTACTGGGTATTTACCCTGAAGATACAAATGTGATCTGAAGGGGCACGTGCACCTGAATTTTTATAGCAGCAATGTCCACAATAGCCAAACTGTGGAAAGAGCCTAGATGTTCATCAACAGATGAATGGATAAAGAAGATGCAGTATCTCTCTCTCTCTCTCTCTCTCTCTCTCTCTATATATATATAATAGAATACTATGCAGCCATCAAAAAAAACTGAAATCTTTCCATTTGCAACAATGTGGATGGAACTAGAGGGTATTATGCTGAGCAAAATAAATCAATCAGAGAACAATTATCATATGATCTCTCTAATATGAGGAATTTGAGAGGCAGGGCGGGGTGTCATGGGGGGTATGAATCAAGAAGGGACGGGAAGAGAGACAAACCATAAGAGACTCTGAATCTCAGGAAACAAACTGAGGGTTACTGGGGGGGCAGTGGTGGGAGGGGGAGGGAGGGTGGCTGGGTGATGGACATTGGGAAGGGCATGTGCTATGGTGAGTGCTGTGAAATGTGTAAGACTCAGGATTCACACACCTGTACCCCTAAAGCAAATAATACACTATATGTTAATTAAAAAAAATTGAAAGTCTTCTACAATGGGCACATAGGTTCTTTAGAGAGTAGGCTTTGTTGGCTTGTAACAAAGGAAAAGATCTTAGCTGACAAATCCCAAACTATCAAAGCTTACCAGGACACCAGAACAGTAATAAACTAGGCAAGTTAAGCAAAAACAAGTATTTTCTTACATCATGAAATGACATTGCATGAAATGTGACTATAATGATAAATAAGATTAATACCCACCTCCACTGCCCTGTTAAAGCAAATACACTCTTTTCTTAATGCCACCCCTCCTGGCTATTTCTACCGGCTTTTCAACTCTACAGATACTGATTATTTACACTGAAAAAAATTATACATACCCTTCTGCAGGCAAAAGCTTCCACAATATGAAGAAATGAGCTGAGCACTCTTTCCTTGGCCCACAGTAAGAAGAAAAGAAACAAAATTGCTGGTACCCCAAAGTATTTATATGAAGAATAAAAAGAAGTGATCACTGTGACAAAAGTAGCTTGGATTATTTATTCCAATAAAGTGGCAGAAGACGAGCAAGCCTAGATTTTTTTTTAATTTAATTTTATTTTTTTTCAGTGTTCCAAAATTCATTATGCACCACACCCAGTGCTCCATGCAATACGTGCCCTCCATAATACCACCACCAGGCTCACCCAACCCCCAGTACCCCACCCCTCAAAATCCTCAGTTTGTTCCTCAGACTAGATTTATTTTTATGTTTTATTCTTCACTTTCTTTATTCTTTTAATTTCCTGGAAATAACGTATTTTGTGATTAAGACATAGAAGCCAATTCAACAGTAAGGGTGATAAAATTTTTTTAATTTCAAAGAATATATGTTGCCCTGGATATTGTTACTATTGTGAGCACTGATTTCATATTCAAAATTAAATTTTAGTATAATGAGCAATTAACTTACTTTCTAGTTAACTATTTGGAATGTCACCACTGTTATTCCCTATTGACTTGTTAAATTTCTTTATGTAAAAACTTCACATAAAAACTCTTTATGTAATACTCTAGAAGCTTATTTCAAGTGCCTCAAATTATTACTGTACTTTAAATTTAAAATAAGAAATCTTAAGAAAGATCACTGAAATAGACAACTTTCTTCCAGAGAGCCCATATCACAAGGAACCAGATTATTGGTGAAGGATCAGTATAGGTACCAATTTTCTATAATCCATCTCACAAAACCACTTATCTCCCCACTAACATACATATCTATAAGGCAGAAGAGCCCACCAAATACCTGGAAAAGTCGGTCTCTACTGTTTCCTGGTAAATCACAGAATGCTCCTTTATACAAGTAGAACAATCTTACATGATTTCTGTGGCTTAGTTTTCTATTTTCATCATTGTGATGTTTAATTGAGAGATTATTTTTAACAGATCAAAATTTCAAAATTTAAATCTTTAACTTTCTCAAGAAATCAGATGATTCAAACTGTACTCAATTAGTTTGAGAGGGAAATATCCAGATTTAACTGTTGTAACTTATGTTAAGACACCAGAAATGCTAGAGAATATAATATATGAGAATAAATGGGTCTTTAAACACACCACTTTTTCCTTACAAACTGGAAGGCATGACTCTTAAAAAAGGAATTATGCCTGTGAATCATCGTCTTGTACTGAAACATAAAATGTCAAACTTGTAAGGGAAAAATGTGCTATTCTATTGCTATTTGTATTTTAATTTTTGTTTCTGAAACTAGTACTACAAAGAGAAAAGATTTAAGAAAGATACAATTGTGTATTTACAGATATTTGGAATTAGAGAACAGAAAATTTACCATATTTAAAAATACTACTAAAATAAACATTTTATTAATGAAAGTCTATAACATGTGCATCAAAAGTAGTCACTTTATGATGACGCATAAAAAACTTAGAGAATGTGTACCACATGATTTAACTTTTCAAACTTTATATATATATATAAAAGCTATATTATAAATACAAAGCTAAACTATTAGAGTGCTTACACTACTGCTCATACAAAGAAACATAACAATAGGAAAATATGAATACATAAGACACTGAGTTTTGGTCCCTTTGGAAAAAAAGAACTAAGTTTTTTTTTGTTGTTTTTTTTTTTTAACATGGCTCCAGGCACAAAAATAGAATATAAGATGATAACAGCAACATTCTTAGTGTTTATCCTTGTAATTCTTTAAATGTCACCAGTCATAATAGCAATGAACTCCTCTTGATTTACTGTGGTAAGAAAGAAAATGTAAGTCAGAAATGAACATTTTTTCTCAGAACAATACTAGTATTTTTATATCAAGTATCTTTAAATTTTATATTATACAAAATTATTAATAAACCAAGGCATACTTTTTTGGTATGTTTTTCTTTTACTTTTTTGATATGAAGTTGATCATGTTTATTAAGTAGAACCTCGTGAATACAAAAATATATAACATGTAATAAACAATATAAATTCGTATTCTATAATATTAATTACTGAAAAAACATTATTAAAGTTACAAACAAAAATGTTTGTCATAACCATAATATTTATATACACTTGCACAAATAGTTTTAAAGCTTGATATTTTTAATTTCTTAAATGGTTAAATCCGCTTTGTAATCTTTATCCTACTAATTCATTTAGTAAACCCTTCCTTTATAAATAAGCTTATTAAATCTATCATGCAAGTATATTAGAATTCTAAAGGAAAATATGTGAGAATTTTTTAAAAAGTCAAATTGTTGTTTTTTGAACTTTTATATATTTAAAAGCCTACTAAAGAAAAAAACAAAAACAAAAAGTTGAAACCAGGTCACCAAACCTCAAAAATGTCTAGAGAAATAATAATTTTTAAAGATACAAATTTAATCTCAATTAGCAAGGTAAAACAGCGATTATATGTAAATGTAGAAAGAATTACTCATAAAGACAAATTGTTAGTTCACCAAAACAATAAATAAAATTCAGTACAAACTTCCAGTTTATAAATCCAATTTTAAGAAAGCAACCTAGAAATAAATAGGTTCATCTTATTAAATATAATTTTTAAAATAAATATATACACATACACATAAATTCTCAACAGAAATGTTCAGAAAAGAATACTTCGTCTTTAAACAGGTGACTTTATGGGCTCCAAAATTTAATGCATAACTTAACAAAGCACAAGATATGAATGATCATTTTGATAATGAAAATGAGAACACTATAATGAAGAGAAAAGAGACCTGGATTCCAGTCATTGCTCTGGGACAGAACAGTTCTGTGTCTCAGTTTCTTCATCTGAAAATACTGAACTATGATACCATCTTTTAGATGTTTCTACTGGGTAATAAACAGACACTAAGGTTCCTATTCTATAGTATCTTGATACTTAAGTGAAGGTATTAGGTGATATTATAAAATTATTTTTAGTTTTCTTAGCAGTAACAATAGTATCACAATTATGAAAGATAATATCCTTATTCTTAGCAGATGCATGCTAAAATGTTAGGGAGGTCAAGTTCATGATATATTTTTCAAACAATCTAGAATAAAAATATATACTACAGACAAAGCAAAACAGTAAAATGTTAATTACTGAATCTAGGTAGAATGTATAAAGGTGTTCATTGTACTGAACTAACATTTTCCTCTATGTTTGAGAAGATTCATAAAGAAAAGTTAGACAAAAATTACCCAATTAAAAAACGCAGAGGAGATAAAATATGTACATCAGGAATGAAAAAAGTATACTGGTTTCAGAAACCACACACACAAAAGAAGTTTCAATAAATTATGTAAGTTATGTTTCATAAGTGAAACAGAGAATAAAACAAAATATTATTTATTATTAAAGCAAAACCCAGGGCACTTGGTTGGTTGAGCGACTATGTTCAGCTCAGATCATAATCCTGGACTTCCAGGATTGAGTCCAACATCGGGCTCCCAGCTCCTTGGGAAGTCTGCTTCTCCCTCTGACCTTCTCCTCTCTCATGTTCTCTCTCACTCATTCTCTCTCAAATAAATAAATAAAATCTTAAAAAAAAAATTAAAAAAAACTCTTAAAAAAAAACAGAACGCAAAACCCAGATCTCTGTGTTGAAAAACATTCCATCTTAATGGGAAAAATCCTTACTTCTGAGAAAAATTTAGGTAAGAATAAATCTTGACTTGGGCTTTGAAATAAAAACATATGATCTGGTTTAACAAGAGGTGGGAAAGAAAGCTAAGGTGGGAGACCATCAGCAATATAGTTTTTAAAAAAAGAAAAGAAAATATTGTGAAATTAAGCTCTAAGGAGTTAAAAGAATGAGATGTCCAGAACTGATAATGAACCATGAATCCATGCATTTCATATTAAACATCTACAAGACACTATGACAGAGTAAAACAGAATATATAACCTATATTACTCAAAATGATCTTACAAATTGTAGTAGTGATCTTTAATTTTTTCACTTAAAAACATGTTTCAACATGTTATGAAAGCTATAAACCCTTTCTCTCCCAGTTTAAAAAAGAAAATATATATCTATACACAAAGAAGTTTAAACAATTTCATCATTATACGCTTTCACATTTAAGAACCTGTGACTTAGTCAATCTAGACTGAGGTATCTAGACCAAAATAAGAAATGAGTATGTTAAGAAAAACCACCTTAGAATAATCTGACTATAAATTATTTTAATAGCGTAACAGAGCTATGATCAAATTACTCAAAATCTGAAAAATATGATTTGTATGATTTGTTCCTTAAAGACCTAGAACTTTTTTCTCTCACCTATAAAATTACAACAAATTTCAAAATTAATTTTCATATAAGGTTTTAAAATCACAAGTGTTAATTTTTGTTGTATTTATGTATGAACACTTTAAAGTATTATACCATTTAAATATATTTTAAACTATTCCATAATTTCCATAGCCTAAAACAGAATACTTACATCCAAAAAAGTGGAAAGCTAAAGGGAAGAGGCTAAGCAAAGTAAATTAGCTCCTCTAGTATGAGTGAGCCTTTCAGAAAATTAAGAAAATCTGTATGCCTTTGTACATTTCCTTCTCTATCGATAATATCTTATATCAAGTTCCTTTATCTAATAAATCTAGCATAATGCCTACCTTTAAATAGGCACCTGATAAAATATTTATTGAATCAAATACAACACTTCATTTTCCTCTACTCTGCCTTTTTAACCAAATTTTCATAAATCAATCATTTCATAGGGTAAATTCTATTACATGTCTTTTAAATATAGAATTTAGAGAAATGAGGCACCTGGGTGGTTCAGTTGGTTAAGCGTCTGCCTTTGGCTCAAGTCATATATCTCAGGGTCCTGGGATCAAGTCCTGAGTCAGGCTCCTGCTCAGTGCACGGGGTTGGGGCTAGTCTGCTTCTTCCTCTTCTTCTGTCCCTCCCCACCACTCATGCACATGTGCACGCTCACTCTTTCTCAAACAAATAAAATTAAGGAAAAAATAAGAATTTAGAGAAATTAGGTAAATTAAGTACCTTAAAGACCATCTGGCTTTGGAGGGGAAAAAAAACAAATTTTAGCATCTGAAGTGACAGTTGACTATTTTATTGAATACTGAGTATTGAATATTTCATATTATAACAGCATGTAACTTTCAGAACTCCATAAACATAGAAACCTAATTAATATTTTACTTTTTAGCCTAAAAGGCAATACAGTGGTGTGGATAAAAGCAGGGACAGGTTATTAATCTCTGAGTTTTAGTTTCCTCACCTATAGATACATCTATCCTGTGCATTAATAGATAGTACTGTACTTAAATATACAATATGCTAAGCACAGAATCTTAACATATTAACTACTAAATAAGTGTTAATATTCATTATTTAAAGATAGTCCCCTTAGGGTTTTTTTATTTTTTTTAAGTTTTATTTGCTTAAGAGAGGGAGTACGCGTGCATGCGTGGGCATGCACAGGTGGTGGGGTGCAGAGAGAGAGGGAAAAGGAGACTCCCAGGGAGCTTGACACAGGGCTCAAGCCCAGGACCCTGGGATCATGACCTGAGCTAAACACAGATGCTTAACTGACTGAGCCACCCAGGTGCCCCTCCCCAATCTTTTTTAAAGATTTTATTTACACTTCGGGTTTTTAATGTTGCTTTTATTTTTCTAAAAAGATTTACTGTGTTTTATATATTTTGGGAGTAATAATGGGGAAGGGATTCTTTCTGTATCATTACCACAGCTTTAGTTGTATTTTGCATTATATCTTTTTTTTCTGGAATTCCTCCTTTACAATATTTATTATTCTATATACACAATTAAAAAAATTTTTTTTCATTGCTCCTAAATACTAAAGTGTGAAAAATTCATAAAGACAGCAGAATTACTGAAGTGCACAAAAAAGACAGCAAGCACTATGTTCTTTACTAGTTTAACACATACAAAGAAAACAGGTTATATCTAAACAAAACTACAGCCCAAAGAATCCAAATTAACAAGTTATTATAAAATCTAATTTGTACTTTCTCAAAAACGGACAGTTTTTCATACAACTACAGAGACCCATATAAGTTAAGGCAGTACCCAAAGCCAGACTAGGATTATAGTTCTCATTGTTTGTGAACATGAAAATGCCTTTCAACAATAATTTCCTGGACTTGCCATAATAAAAGTCATACTTAGCATGCCTTGTTTGAAACACAGATAATGTCAAATAGCTACTATGAATTCTGAATAATAAGTATTTTTATAAATCGCAAGCGCATTTACAGAGTTTATGTATGCATGTGCAATACTATTATTCATATAGTCTACAGACAATATTTGATGCATACACTCAGACTGCATGCAATACTTCAGAAGGCCCCAACCCAGAAACTCACATTCCAGATTGGAAACTAGATTAGATGAACTTAATATAAGAATATCCCCTTCCCCCCGCAAAAAAGACAAATCTTAAAAATAAAAGACTATGCATCACTGTATTTTATTTGTAATCAATCACTTGGAAAAAAGAAAAAATGTTATTTGCCTATTAGTCATTTGAATAAATGACGGTAGGATGCCCAAGCAACAGTTATATGGAGACTTAAAGCACGTACTTAGAACCACAGAAATGTTTTAAGGATGCACTAAAATCTTCAAGCAATGGAGCACAGGCATGAACTCTGAGATTCAAAAGCAGCAAACACAGCAGACTAAAAGGGATGCAAGAAATGGACACATTTTCTAGGCGAAAGTTTCACATCAAGTTTGAATTTAAGAGGCAGCTTCCTAATTGTTATTTTCTTCTAGTGTCAAATGAAGCTAATAACCAAAATCTAGCTTGCATGTGCATAGTAGAGGAAAAGAAAATAACTATCTTTTGATACATGTAGTAACCATTACTAAAGACTTATGAAATAGACATGCCAAGATTCTCTGTGCCATTGAAGATAGTACCCTTACAGAACAGGGTTGCTTTAAAGCTAGTTTAGGGTAACAGCCAACAGCTGGGGAAGACAGAAAAATTTTTAAAACATGAAGGCAGTGGATACTAAATCCAAATATTAGTGTGAGAGCTCAAGTAATCATTTAAATTTCCTCAAGTATTAATAATCTTTATTTTAAAACATAAATAAATCTATCAATATCTTTCAAAGACCTAGTATTAAAGTTTCATAATGCTCAAATAATATTTACACAAGTATAAAGTATAATAATGTACAGTTCTAAAGGACAATCTACAAACCTGAATAGCTGGTTGCTACTGTCTTGCCTCCTTATTAAAGCATGCCACTATTTCTAATATTTCCAGTAATATATGTATTATGTATATATGTGTAGTTGATACTGTATCAATATATATCTACTGTAACACACACTCCCGCTTAGGGCTCAAGTCAATAAACATCAGAGCGCTCATTATGTTCAAGAAAATGTGCAGGGGAGGGGTGCCTGGGTGGCTCAGGTGGTTAAGCATCTGCCTTGGGCTCAGGTCATGATCTCCAGGTCCAGGGATTGAGTCCCGCATTAGGCTCCTGCCTCAGCAGGGAGTCTGCTTCTCCCTCTGTCTCCCCCACTTCTTGGGTTCTCTCTGTCTCTCTCTCTCTCTCCCTCAAATGAGTAGAATCTTTAAAAATAAAATTAAATTAAAATTTAAAAAAATTTTTTAAATGCAGGGGAATATAAAGATGAGTAAAGGACAACAAGCTTCCATTTAATGTTAGGAACCTTCAAATATCTTCCTTAAAACCACCCTGGAAGGTATCACCCTTCCCATTTTAATAAATGGGAAACCAAGACTCAGTGAACACTGAAAACTTGCACAACATTAAAGAGCAACTAAGTAAGTGGTAGAGATCCAATTCAAGTCTAGAGCTGTAGGACTACAAAGCCTTAGGCTTTCACACTATGATTCCATATTGCTCTTAAGGGACTTACAATATACTGGAAAGATACACATGTATGTAGCTAACAGAAGGCACTGTATAAAAGTGTCAAAATACTTTGTTCCTCTAAATAAAAGTCTCATAATTCATCAGAGAACACTAGGGAAGGGTTCTGAGAAATAGATGAAGTTTAAAATGTACTAGAGAGGGGCACCTGGGTGGCTCAATTGGATAAGCATCTGCTTTCAGCTCAGGTCATGATCCTGTGGTCCTAGGGTCGAGCCCCACAATAGGTTCCCTGCTCAGCAAGGGAATCTGCGTTTCCCTCTCTCTCTGCCCCTCTCCCTGCTCTTGCTCTCATTGTCTGTAAATAAAATCTTTAAAAAAAAAAAAAACAAAAAAAAAACTGTACCAGAAAGACAGACATATTAGCAGACAAAACCTGGTAATTAGAACATTCTAGGATTAAGGAATGGCATGATGAAAAAGACACAGCATAAAAAAAGTGTTTCCAGGATAGAGTATATTTGGACAAGGTATGTATGTATTGGGGGTGAAGGTTAAAGCAGAAAAGTGGAAGACCATAGTGGGAAATAAAACTAGATAGGGCAGAATGTATCCTAAAAAGCTTCAAAATTTACTCTGTAGGCACCGAGGAATCATTCAGTATTTGAAGAGGGGAATGACATCATCAAACCTGTACTTTAGGAAAAGAAAGTTATCAATATGTTAGAGGGTGGAGGGTCATAGGCATAGAGGGCAATTAGGAAGCTAAAGAGACCACATCTGCCTTCTTCATTGTGTAGCCCCAGTTAGCCCACAAGGCACGGTATCCAGCAGGCATTCAAGGAAGTAATGAGGCTATGATAACATTAATACAAAGAAATTAGGGCCTGAACTAGGGCAGCAGCAGTAAATAAAGATATAAATAAAGATTCAAAACTTTCAAAGGGTAGAACCAATAGAGCTTAGTTATAGTTTAGGAGTACTTGTAGGTTAAGGAAGAAACCATTAAAAGCGGATATTTTACTGAGTAGCTGAAATTTTGAGATGCTTCATCCTCAAAGAAAAGTAAAATAAATTCTTGGAAGTATGGGACCTCATATTACAAACAGTATAGTGGGGTTTTAAAAGGTCTGCATCATTCTGAATTAAATGATGTGAAATGTTTACACAAAAAGCCCATTACAGGATGAACAATAATTATATCAAACAGAGACAGTCTGTAATGGGTCTTGAAAATCATTTGCTTTCAGAAAAATTTACTATATGTATACATTAGGAATAATACCTGGAATATGTGTTTTACTTAAAACTTACTTTCTCCATCACCATCTTTATCAAATTCTTCTATCATAGCCCGAAGTTCTTCATCACTCATGTTTTCACCCAATTCTCTGGCAACACGTCGCAAATTCCTCAAGCTTATTTTACCTGAATCATCATCATCAAATAGTTTAAATGCCTTTAATATTTCTTCATGTGGATCTCTTTCCAATATCCAGTCTGTCACTACAGTTAAGAGAAATTTTAAAAATTTTAAAAACACTTTATAATCACAAATGCATTCATCTGTGAAATCAACCAAGTGTTAGATGAGAATTAAAGTTGTGAATTGTTCAACATTTAGTTTGTAATAAACTGCCAAATCAGAGCCCCAAAACCCAAAAAGATAAACCTGACATTGGAAAAATCAAATCCATATTTTAAAATTTAATCTACGTTATCAACAACTTATCCTATTATAAGAGTAAGCAAAATTATCTCACAAAGAGGCAAAATAAAAAGGATTAGATACCATATTTATTTAAGGTCTACGATATTTATTTATTTAAGGTCTATGATTATCAAGAATTGTAGTAGGCTCCACTGACAGCAAGCACAGAAGTCTAGGAGTTTGTAACTTAGTTATAGAGATGATATACCAACAAAACAATTAAGACTAATTAGATAAAAGATGTCTGATGTCTAAACTTAATAATAACATTACTGTTCCTCAAATTAAATCCAATTTAAAGACAAAAAAATCATGACAAATTAATAAAATGCAGTGCCATCATTGATAAAGACACATTGTCAGACAGATGAAAATTCCGCTGATATCTTCATGATTTGAGGAAACTCTGGGTTTTCCAAAAATGAAAAGCAGTTACCAAAAGGACTGAAAATGATTATAGTTAAGCTTCCATACCACCACCCCCCCAAAAAAAGAAAAAGGAAAGGACTGAAAGATCTCTCTAAAGTCATGCCCATTTTGTTCAGCAAGATAATAACTCTCAGACAACTAAAATTAAAAGTGACAAATACCAGACCTCAATAGTAATAATACATTTTAATAGGCTAAATGTAATAATAAACAGTATTTTCAATATTTGCAGTCTTTATTCAATAGCCACAATAACACAATTAAAGTAAAAATCTGTGGTATAAATGTTTTTAAGTTACTAGATCAAATTCTGGAAATATCTAAGTAAACATCTTTGAAGTAATTCCACATGCTAGTCTACCACTACAACAAAAATTATTTATGACTTTCACTGTGCCATTAAAAATAACTCAGTCCTGTTGAGGTTTACAGAATCATTAAAAACTTGCGCAAATGTTTGTAGATGGGAAGTACTAGAATGTTTAATGCACCCAAAAAAAAAAAAAAAAAAAATTCAAGCCCACAAAAAATTATTATTGTTTTGCTGCAATGTCATCATGTTTGGTTTGAGTAAGCTTTTAGGATAAGCATCTACGTTAAATCATCCACCTACATATTTAGTAGTTTTCTATTATCCATTAATTGTACCCAAAAAGTCTTTCAAGTAACTAATTGAACTATCTTACTATAAGTATGCAAATCACCAAAGCTCATAAATATTCAATCAAAAAGGAGTTGGCATATATACAGCCATAACACCAAAATAAAATACCATGCTTAACTCTATGGCTCATACTCAACTTATTTTGAATTTAGTCCCAACAAAAAAGCAGGACAAGGAAAAAAAAAAGTGTTAAGAAATTTTCTTCACCAATTAAATAATTTACATGACAGGTGAACCAAAAAAGCAGCTTGCTGAAAGTATTAATGTACTTAAAGAAGCAACAGGGTGATGTGGGGAACAGATGGGGCTCCAAGATGTATAAATTCTTATCCCACTAGTGCTTTAATTGTGTTAGTTACTTCAGACTTATGTGTATATATAATCTTTTATCAATACTTTGCCTTAGAATACAACTTTTCTTGGGAATTATAAATACCCACCATTCTGGACAACTAAAACATAATAACTTTATGGTAACTCTCTTCCATGCCTTCATGTTCTATTCCTATTCCACTGAGTAGAATTTAATTATAAGAAATACACTTTTTTTCCAATGAAAATAAGTCAACTAACATACAATTAAGGTGGGTTCAATCTAATTCACAAATTTCTGTCCATGAAATCTACTTTCAAAAAATTATACTACCAGAAATATATTTCCTCAAAATAGTTAGACCTTATACATTATAAAACTCAGTGAAGGGGTGCCTGGGTGGCTCAGTTGGTTAAGCGGCTGCCTTCAGCTCAGATCATGATCCCAGGGTTCTGGGATCGAGCCCCACATCGGGCTCCCTGCTCAGCGGAAAACCTGTTTCTCCCTCTCCCTCTGCCTGCCTCTCTGCCTACTTATACTCTCTCGGTGTCAAAAAAAAAAAAAACAAACAAAAAAAACCCCACAAACAAAAAACCTTTAAAAAAAATCATTAAAAACACAGCACATTAAAAAAAAACACATTAAAATTTATCAAAAATCATTAAAAGTACTGCTAGAAAAACACTTTCAACTATATTTCTCATTGTCTTTTGGGGGTCTTTACCCAAAAATACAAGTTACTTTAAACTCAACATTTTAGAACCCAAACTCCTACTATCACCAAGATAACTGTTGATGCCCCACCTCAAAATAGAGAATAGCACCATTCACAGTTAATCTCCCATATTTGAAGTCTGAATATTTTGAATCCCATAAACCTAACCTGTGATTATGAGGATACATTTTTTACTCTTACTCTTTACTCTTTTCTCTTTTCATTCTTACACCCTCAGTATAATATAAGTATGTTATTTTCCTGTCTGCAGTCTCTCTTCCCTCCAACCCATCTTTAAAACTCTTAATAGAGTTACCTTTCTAAAACACATCATCTTCTCTTCCTCAGAAATTGAAAATGATCACCTGCTGACTAAAGTCCAAGCACTACACATGACTAAACAAGACTTTATTTATGTGGCCCAATTCTATCCTTCCATTTCCCTAACCTCGACAACAGGAGACTACCTGAAGTTTCCCATACTATACTTCTACCATACCACTCTTCGTTGATGCTATTTTCTCTGCCTGCAATGTCTTTTGCTACTCGTTCCCACAGACTTCTCCTGAGGATGAAATTCTATTCAATCCCCAAAGGTCTAAATTAAAACTCGACTCTGCAAAGTCTTCTTCAATTGCTCTAGACCTGGAATTGACAATTCTCTTTGTTTTTGTTAAATGCCAGATAGTAAATATTTCTGGCTTTGTGGAAAGTATAAGATCTCTGACTAAACTACTCACTCTGCCATGACAGCACAAAAGCAGCATAAAAGATGAGGTAGTGTGGAAGCAATAGCTGAATTTGGCCTAAGGACTGTAGTTTGACAACTCTTGCTCTAAACAAAATTATAACTTACCACAGAACACTACAGCTTGTTATTACCTGCATTTAAATGGTAAGCTCCTTGAAAGAACCTTTTAGTAACTTCTAATTCCCCTCCCTCAACCCAGTAAAGTACCTAATGACAAAAAATTCAGCAAATGTTTGTTAAATAAGCAAAGCAAAAACAGTAATACAATATCCTATTCTTTTTTTTTTTTTTTAAAGATTTTATTTATTCATTTGACAGACAGAGATCACAAGTAGGCAGAGAAGCAGACAGATAGAGAGAGGTGGAAGCAGGCTCCCTGCAGAGCACAGAGCCCGATGTGGGGCTCGATCCCAGGACACCAGGACCATGACCTGAGCCGAAGGCAGAGGCTTTAACCCACTGAGCCACCCAGGCGCCCCACAATATTCTATTCTAAACAGGCAATGGAATAATTAGTTTGTGTCCCCCCAAAAATGAGTACAAATACCTGACTTATCTTGGTCTTACTTTAAAGGAGCAATTCCTAAAACACCTTTGATACTACTCACTAACCTCAAGCAGCCTAGATTCTTAACTTACATGAAACATACTTTAATATTTTTTTCTAACATTGGGAAAATTCTGGTTCAGTGTTAGACTTAATCCAGAAACATCTGTAGAACAATATCCTTCAATAGTATTAGACAATACAGAAAACTAAGACTCAAATGCTCTGGTTTGGAGTTATTTATTCCAAAGGATAAAATACACAATCATCTGTGCTCAGTTATTATTGAAAAATAATTAACAAATGGAGAGAATACACAGTTCTTGACTATTATTTCTAAACAGTAATAAATTTTTATCTGACTACTCAGATTTTCAATAGGTAGTATGAGGATAGCTAAAATATGTGCTAAGCTGGTCAAAAGTTCTATCTTTGAAAGTCAGAGCACAGTTTAGTCCTAGTCATTTATTCTGGAAAGATCCCAATATCAGTGCTCTGTTTACAATACAGAAAAGATAGAGGATCAGGAAAAGGTGAAAATGGCATGGGACTCTGGCTTCAACTGCTAATAAAATCGCAATTTCTTTTTTTTCTTTTTTTTAAAGATTTAATTATTTATTTGAGAAAGAGAGAGAATGAGAGAGAGCAAGCACGAGAGGAGGAAGGTCAGAGGGAGAAGCAGACGCCCCGCTGAGCAGGAAGCCCGAGATGGGACTCCATCCCAGAACTCCAGAATCATGAGCTGAGTTGAAGGGAGTTGCTCGACCAACTGTGCCACCAGACACCCTAAAATCACAATTTCAAAAACTATATTTACTTAAGATGATATAATGCCTAAAATAGCCCACAACTATGAAAAGAAAATAATCAGAAAAAGATAAATACATGAGTACCATACTTTTTACGTTCCAGTGATGCATACACAATCATTACTAGGCACTAAAAGTGAAACAAAGACAATTTTTAAAAGTAGTAATAACAAATACCTAATAGTACTTTCTATAGCTAGGTCCCTTTCTATAAGCACTTTACTTACTAACTTATTTACTCCTCCCAAGAACCCACCAGATAGTATAACTATCCCCATTTTATAGCTGCAAATGAGACACAGACAACTACAATGACCAAGTTAAACAGCTAGTAAGTGGCAAAACCAAGATATGAACCCAGGCAATCTGCTTCCAAAATGTCCATGCTAAACCACTACATTGTACCAAATGTGCCTGAATTGTAGCTCTTTCCTAACAGTATCATCGCCACTATATCCTAATACCCATTTCTATAAATCAACAATCTAAGTAAGAACTTGGACTAAGATCATAAACTAGAGAAGAGTTTCAATACTGAAAGACTAAAGGAATAAAGATGGCTCCCTCCCTCCGCTCAAGTAAATAAATCTACAGATTAGAAGAAAACATAATATACTCCCCAAAGGGATGAGCTGCCTTTTTTTTTTTTTAATTTTTATTTATTTGACAGAGAGAGAGAGAGAGGTCACAAGGAGGCAGAGCAGGCAGAGAGAAGGGGGGGGAAACAGGCTCCCTGCCAAGCAAAGAGCCCGATGTGGGACTCGATCCCATGACCCTGAGATCATGACCTGAGCGCAAGGCAGAGGCTTAACCCACTGAGCCACCCAGGTGCCCCAATGAGCTGCCTTTCTAAACAGTTATTCCTAGTTGACAATGTGGGGATCTTCCGTGTCATGCTTTCTTTCTCTTTTAGATTTATCATTTAACTTCATTCTTCCTCACCTTGATTTTGAATTTTCAGACTATTTAATGATATGAATCTCTTCCAAACTGCCATTTCTTTTTGCTTTCTATATTACTTCTTTCTGAATATTTACACAAAGTTTTGTATGTGTAACTGGATTTGTTCCTACATTTTTAAAATATCTAAATATAACTCTATGATATCCTTATATCATGACCTATATAAAGTGGTATTACTGCTTTAGAAAATTTAATTTAAAAAACCCTGAATATATGTACATTCCATGTATAATATTCTAAGGACTATATTTAATTCATAATAGCAAAGCCTTTGCCTTCCAGAATCTTCTATTCTAAAAAAGCCTGATATATGCTTTAACTATTTCACTAAAATCAACTATATGAAAATTCAATCATATTAAACTCACGACACAGTATGCTTACTTAGTTGTTCTAAAATGTCTTCTCCTGCTTGAGTTTGCCAAATGCCTCCTTTACTATAATCCCCTCTGCCCTCAAATTTAAACAGATGACTTTATTCACTAAGACCAAGTCATACAGAATACAAGGGGCTACAGAATATGTAGCCCCTTGTAAGCTTTGTCAACCTGATGGCATGCACTTCACCTACAGCCAAAGATACCAAATGCTACAGGTTTTCTCTTCTCCCACTCTGCCAACAAAAATCATAAATCAGAATGGTCTTAGGAAATATTTTCCAAACAAAAGGATACTGAATTTTCTGTTTTACTCTTAGAAAATAATTTTTGATCACCCTTTTAGTTTTATCACATAATATAAACACACATTACTTAGGAAGATTTCTTTCCACCAAAAGCTATACAATAGTTCCTTGATTAGAATCTTCAGGATAAAAGACAAAATGATAACTACCATAACAAAACTGTAAATCTTATTTTTTCTTCTTTAAAGTAGGAAGAGTGCTCCCAAACCCCCATACAATAACTACATTATATAGCAATGTTCAATAACAAAATTCCATAACCCAGAAAATCAAAAAAATACTAATATTAATGGATAATTTCCTAACAAGTGCTAATTACAAAGACTATTAAAATACACACCAACTTCATTAAAATCTTCAAAGGTGATTTTCCCTGTGGCTTCTCTGTCATAATCTTTAAGAATCTTCAGTACATCAGCTTTTTTTACATCAAACCCCAAGGCTCTCATTGCCACCTTTTGGAATAAAAGGGAAAAGCAAATTATAAAGCACTCTTTCGAAAGAAGTGACTTCCAATTCTTAAATAAGTTTTTACAACTTAGGGATGTCAGCATATTAATAAAACATTTAATTCTTTTGCATGATAAAAAAATCAAAGTGATAGTTTTTCTCCATTACTGAAGTTAAAACAATTTTTTCATTTATATATCCTTTTTTTATAGGACAAGCCAAATGTTTATAAAATATACTATACAATGGACTGACTTACTATACAGATCATTTTAACAAGTTATTTATTCTCAAATGATTAACAACCAAAATGAAAAAAAGGCATAGCATAAGTATTAAAAATTTATACAAGAAGAGACAAAAAAATTAAAATAAGAGTTATCCTGAGACTCTACATGATTAGTTATTCAGTATAAATAGTCCAGGCCCCTGAGTTTAAAGAAAGAGTAGATCTTGTTACTATTAACAAGAAAGGAGAGACATGATACTGATTAAAGAAGTCTGACTTGGAAAGGTTCCATTTGTTCTCTGATGAATGGATGAAATAAAGTAGAAGAGCACTGCGAAAAGGATGACTGGCTATAAAACAGACACCATAATACACAGGCTTGAGGACAGTGAATAGAGCAACTTACCTTACCTGAACAGGAAGAGCTCAGGTGTAAATAAGCAATTAGCAAATGAGAAAAGTAGACAGTAGTAAAAGTGAGGGGAGCAGTCAATAAAAACCAAAGGAATCTGAACTTTATGCAGTGCACAATGAGGAGCCACTAAAGGTTTACGAACAATGAACAATATGAGGAAATAATCTTAGAAAGATGAATCTAATGGCAGTTTACAGAGTGAACGAGAAATGGAGGAACCATTTAGGAAGATCCTGGTATGAAATAAGATCCCAAACCAAGATATTAACAATAGTTAACAAATGGAAGAGACATTATAAAAGAACTGATCAAAGCTGGGATACTGAAAAAAACAAAACAAAACTGTGGAAAAAGAGAGCTAAAGAGCTACCAAAATGTTGCCTTTCTCATGCTGAGTGTGAGATCTGTACTACGCTAAACAAACTCTTGCATCTTTATAAATAATTCTAGGCCCTAAGGTTGACATTGTCCCCTATTAGCATGTGTCAACATCAGACATCACTTATACTGTTTGCAGCAGAGAAAGTATGTAAAGAATGTATTATTAACATGTTCAAATTAAAAGACAAATAACACTCACAATGTGAGAGAAGAATGAGTCACCAAAAAAAAAAAAAAAAAAACAGTGAGAAGTGTTTAAATCCTATGGTATGAATTATTTTTATTATGTGAATGAAAAATAAGGCCCTCCATAGTAGTGTATTTTTATATTTAAAATACTATTTACTTTACAATGTGAAAAGTCTAAAAAGATGTTAGGATTTTATTATACTAAATAGTAAATTTTTATTTTTTAATTTTAATTTTTTTATTTTACTATAATTTTATTACAGCATTTAACTGTGAACATCTAAAATGGTTTCATATGTCCACAACCAGTTTAAATACTTTAGTCCAAAATGCAAATCATTTTAACAGAAAAATATACATTTTGAAATATATACTAATACCTTTAATTCATGATAATCTATTGCTTCATCTTTGTCTGTGTCAAACAGTTCAAAAGCATCTTTAATTTCTTGTTTCTGTTCTTCAGAGAGTTCTCTTCTTTTTTTCCTCTTTGTTTTGTCTACTACAAGCTCATTTCTATGAAAAGAAAAAAGTCTATTCAGTCTACTTTAATCCAATTCTCCTATGCATCTGGATGATTAAAATAAGATTCCAAAACACAACAAAAAAATTAACCAATGAATAATTTTTTAAATTTCTACAAAGGAAGTATTTGGGAGAAAAATGAAGAAATTTTCTTTACATGAATCAAAGCCTTGATTACCCCACAGTCTAGCGGCTATAAATTTGCACTTCCAAAACTGAAAAGTGTTACAGGTTATTATAAGAAATGAGGACCTAACTTTCTCTCCTTCTGGTTTCATACTTATTCTCAATGATATTAACGTGGAAGAAATAAGAACTGTGAATAAAAAACATTACCCTCATGACAGAAATCCCAACAAAAAAACAAAACACTCGTATTTACTATTCACATTACTCTACCACATAGTGTTAAAAAAAAAAAAGGAAAATTCTTAATTGATGATCACTATATATTTGGTTTACTTTTGATAGCATTTATAAGTTATCAAAATTACTACCAAAAGGGCATATAATTTAACAATTTACAAAGTTTTTGGCATTGTAGGTTAAGTGATTTAGATTACACATTTCTAATGGCCTTTATTTACAATTTCTTCCACTGATACTAACAAATCAACCAAAATACTTAAGTCTAAATATGCCATGAAAATCAAATGCCAAAAAAAAAAGTATATTTGGGCTAATTTTCTATAATATAAAGTGAAGAATCAATGGTTTTGTAAATCTCACTTGTAAATTTAGACTTAGTTTCTCATAAACCCTGGAATATTTTTTTAAAGGAAATTTTATTTAAAAAGCCAGAAACGGGGCGCCTGGGTGGCTCAGTGGGTTAAAGCCTCTGCCTTCATCTGGGGTCCTGATCCAGAGTCCTGGGATTGCGTCCCACATAGGGCTCTCTGCTCCACAGGGAGCCTGCTTCCTCCTCTCTCTCTCTTTGCCTGCCTCTCTGCTTACTTGTAATCTCTGTCAAATAAATAAATAAAATCTTTAGGGAAAAAAAATTAAAATTAAAAATTAAAAAAATAAAAATAAAAAGCCAGAAATGTCTTAAAAGATACTAATCTTAGTGTTTCAAAATTTCAAATGCGGCTGCGACATCCATGAGAACACGTTTTGAAACCAAACAATATCATAAAACTTTAAAATGTAAAACTTGGTTGATTTTAATAAAACGTTATCTATTTGCTTGTGTTTTGCTCTCTAAAAATCTACAACAAAAGGCAAGAGATGAGTAGAAAGTGATCAGAAGAGGTATAATAAATAAAGCTGAGGAAAATCTTTTTTCACAAGACATCGGACTTCACACAAGCTTGGTTATTCCCGGGGTCATTTTCTCTGGACGGCCAAGTCCACCACAGACCTACAACTGCTTCCAGGCAAGGCTACCACCATAATCTCTCAGCCGAACGAGGCACCTATTTAGAGACGCGTAACTACCTGTTTTTAAGGTAAAACGTCTACATGGCGCTGGGGTTAGAGGTTGGAAGAGAATGAAAGGTAAAGAAACTCAAAAAATTTGAAAACCCTAAGAGAGAGATTACCAGTTAAAGTCATTTAAGTAGGTCTCCAGTTATACCTTCAAACAGAGACCCAAGATAAGAGCAAGGAACGGGTTTATGTTATGTCCAAAATTTATAGTTTCATGATGGCATCACCGGAGCTGAGGTGGGGCCGCAGACCACGAAGGCGGAGCTGAACCAAAGGACCGATGCTCCCTGGCCTGATTTCTCGCAGAAACACCGCGAGAAGAAACATCGCGACATTTCACTCTCCTCGCAACTGAAACCGCCCACCTTTTTGGTGGTGCAAAGGCCAAAGCGCTGATAGATGTTAACTAGCTCAACAAAAATGCACGGGACTCATCACCTGTGAGACACCAGGGCCCCCAGGGTGAGGGGTCCGGGCCCGGGAAGGTTGGCGGAGGCTCCTCTCCCACGTCCCAACCTGCACCCCCTTCCTCGCCTCGGCCCCAACTACCTCCCTTCCACAAACACCCGCCCTGGGGCCCGCTGCGGGGTGTGGAGAGCATTGCGGCCTCCTCATTACCGACCTCAGAGCTAAACTCATTTTCTCTTCGGACAGAGACGTTCCTCTCAAGAACGATCTTAACGCCCTACCCAAGGCAGCACAACTTCCACAAGCCGTTCAACAGACAACCACGACCTCAGCGGCCTCAAGGACCTCCCACAAGGTAGACACTTCTGAGCCGGATTGGTTGACATTGCTGACGTCCTGCCTATTGAGGAGGAAGCGTCACGATTCCTCTGCTCTCATTAGGCATATTTCGCGTCAATCAAACAAACGGCCCTTCCCTCGCCCCCTGCGGCCCCTCCTCCCGCCCTTTGGATTGGCTTGTTGTGGTTTCCCCGAATCCTTTGCGGAGCCGGGGTTTTGGTCTTTGCGTGGTGCGTTGGGCTAGTGGATGGGTGAACTTCGTCTCACGCTAGGGCAGTCTTGTATCTTGTGACGAGTGACCCGCGGCAAGACGTACAGCTCCAGGAGGAAGGAAGGGGAAGAGGCATGGCCGCGGGGTTAGCCTCCTCAACCAGGAAGAGGGAATAGCTGGGGAATGAGGCCTAACAAATTTGGCTTCGCTGTATTCTAAAATCTTGGATGGTCTGAGTACATGGGGAGTTTGTTTAAAAACGCAGATTTAAATGTATCTTTCTCCCGCTTCTTTTTTTCCTTACAAACTATCCAAGTGATTCCAAGGCAGGTGCTATAGATTACATTTGTATCATTCGTGGGTTGGATTATGAGGCTATTACAGTGAAGCTGTACTTAACCGTCCCTTAGCTCCCCTTTTCCTCTTCGAATGGGTTTGTTCTTATACATCCTTTGTTTTCCAGTGTTATAAGCTGCTTATGCACATTATGTTATCTGAAGTTGCAGACTAAGTTCTTGAAGCTCATTTGGGTAATCAGTTTTCTTGAGGTGCAGGATACGCTGTTCTTAGTGCCTAATACAATGCCTGATGCATAGGTGCTCAATAAGTATTTGTTGCATTGAATGGAATCTTGCCGTGAAAACCCACAAAGCACTCAACTAAGCTGTAAACCTTTTAGAGGAATAAAATAGCCTGAATGTGGGGGTCAGTCAGGGGAAGGGGGAAGATCAAGAAACCCTATGGTATAAGTATAAAGGAAATGTATACACACACACACACACACACACACACACACACACACAGGTTTAAAGAAGGGAAAGCACACAATAGGACAGAAGAAAATCTTAAAGGATTTGGCCTGTAAGTTAGGCCTAGAAGGATGAGCTAAAAAAAGTTCAACGATAGCCCCCCAAAAAACAAAATTAGAAAACTTCCCTTTTAAAGTACTTTTTAAGATAAACTTAGAGTCCAAAAAAAAAAAAGGAAATATTGCTGCTAATAAGGTTTTTTGTAGTTTAAAAGGGAGGTTGGGAGGTTGGGATGCCTGGCTGGGTCAGTCTGTAGAGCAGGCAACTCTTGATCTCTGGGTTGTGAGTTCAAGACCCACACTGGGTGTAGAACTTACTTTTTAAAAATTACCCCCAAAAAAGTAATAATAAAAGGGAGCTTTACAAATTATTAAAATACTTCATATAACTTCATGCTGCCAATAAATATTAATATCAAAATGGTATAGTCACTTTTTTAAAGATTTTATTTATTTATTTATTTATTTGACAGAGGAGACCACAAGCAGGGGTGGGGGGAGCAGGCTCCCTGCTGAGCGGAGAGCCAGATGCGGGGCTGGATCCCAGGACCCCAGGATCATGACCTGAGCTGAAGGCAGAGGCTTTAACCCACTGAGCCACCCAGGTGCCCCATATAGTCACTTTCTAAGGAAAACAGATGACTGAAAAAAGAAAATTGAATTAGGTTGATAACTATAGATAGGACTGAATGATAGTGTGATGCCAGAATTCCATGCCATAAAATAAGAAGGCATCCAGCCCACTCAGTTATGGGTGAGTTAAAAATTTGTGAGGAGCAGACAACTCTTGACTTGGGATCATGGGTTCAAGTCCCATGTTGGCTGTAGAGATTACTAAAAGAAAAAAACTTTGAATTCATAAAAATTCCTGAGGAGCTAATTCTTATGCTTTAAACTCAAAGCATGATAGAGAACTTAAATGTTCTAGCTAATATGAAGCTAGCACAAAAAACATTAAAAGCATTTAAAATCACTGTATGCTCTATGAGGAGAGTGTGCATGTTGTCCACCATTCTATGTGCCTGGCTCATATTTGATGTTCATTAGTGAACATATGTGCAAACATTTTAGATGTTGGCAAAATCAATTTGGTATTGTCTTAAAGGAACATTTTACTGTAACCAAATAGAGTTTATTTTTTTAAATGCAAAGATATTTTGAAATACAAATCTGTATTAATTAATCATAATTCTAGGTTAAGGAGATAAGTTCAGTACCTGAAAAAGGGCTGGAAATATTCAAAGTCCACTTCTAGTAAAATGTATATTAACAAACCAGATGTAGAAGGTGCATTTTTAACTTGAACAGCATATTTGAAAAATGCTAGTGTTGGGGCTCCTGGGTGGCTCTGTCAGTTGAGTCTGCCTTGGGCTCAGGTCATGATCCCAGGATCCTGGGATCCAGCCCTGCAACAGACTCTGCACTTGGCAGAGAGCCTGCTTCTCCCTCTGTGCTGTTCCCCCCTCTTGTGCTCTCTCCGTGTCTGTCTCTCTCTCTCTCTGTTGAAGGAAGGAGGGAAGGAAGGAAAGAAGGAAAGAAGGAACCTCCCTTTAAAAAAAGAAGAAAAAGGGGCGCCTGGTGGCTCAGTGGGTTAAAACGTCTGCCTTCGGCTCAGGTCATGATCCCAGGGTCCTTGGATCGAGCCCTGCATCGAGCCCCGCATCGAGCCCCTCATCGAGCCCCGCATCAGGCTCTCTGCTTAGCAGAGAGCCTGCTTCCTTCCTCTCTCACTGCCTACTTGTGATCTCTGTCAAATAAATAAATAAAATCTTTAAAAAAAAAAAAAAAGAAGAAAATGTTAGTGTTTCTTAAACCTGGTACCTCTGACACTAGAATTTTGTGGAATGTTTATGGTCATTTCATGAAGAGTGGGTTTTGTGGGCAAATAATTTGGGAAAATAGATTTTTTAAAAAAGATTTTATTTATTTATTTGACAGTGAGATAGAGAGACAGAGAAAGCAGGAACATGAGCAGGGGGAGTGGGAGAGGGAAAGCTGGCTTCCCATCCAGCAGGGATCCCGATAGGACAGGATGCCGGGATCATGACCCCAGCTAAAGGCAAACGTCCAACAACTGAGCCACCCAGGTGCCCTGGGAAAATAGATTTTTAAATGTTTAAATGTTAAAATCTTTTCAGCAGGATATCCTGCTAAGGGAATGACAGTAAAGTTTATATATCACTTCTGCATAGTGGTGAAAATTAGTGTTCACTCCTTGCTACAGGAAGGCTGGAAAAAGAAATGCTTCCCCCTCTCTCTCTGCCTGGTGCTCTGCCTACTTGTGATCTCTCTCTCCCTCTGTCAAGTAAATAAATAAAATCTTAAAAAAAAGAAAGAATTCAGTAAAGTAGCTGATTTTCAGAACAATTTGCAAAATCAACAAGGAATTATAAGCTCAGATAATAACAGCAATGTGAAATTCCTACAAGTAAACTTAAAAGGAAATCTGTAGGATCAACAGGTAGAAAATCACATTTTACTAAAGGATGGGAGATTTGAGTAAATTGACAAGCTATTCTCCTAGATGGGAAGTTTCAGTATTGTAAAAATGTTGATTATACCTAAATTTATCTACAAATTTAATATAATCAAAATGAAAATTCTTCATTTTTAAAAAATTTTTTTAAAATAATTTTTATTTATTTGAGAGAGCAAGTATGCCTATACAAGCGGTAGGAGTTGGGGCAGAGGGAAAGGGAGAAGCAGACTCTGGGCAGGGAGCCCAGCAAGAGGCTTGATCCCAAGAAGCTTGAGATAATGACCTGAGCCAAAGGCAGACGCTTAACAGACTGAGCACCAAGGCACCCCCATTTTTTTCTTGAATGTTATAAAAATGGTTCTAACAATCACCTCAAGAATAATTGCATAAAATAAGTTACAAAATGGTGAAAAACAATAGTAATGCAAAAATTGCTATATAGGATATTAAAATGTATTTGCTACTATTGTACTCAGAATAGTAAATCCAGAGCCAGAACCAAAAATAGATAGAACTTGTGGTTTAAGGAGATAGTAGCAGTAGTATTTGTTTAGTCTTCCTCCTGAATCCTTAATAAAACTATAGTTGAGAAATAATTTTTTTTCAAAGATTTTTATTTATTTATTTGACAGAGATCACAAGTAGGCAGAGAGGCAGGCAGAGAGAGAGGAAGGGAAGCAGGCTCCCCGCTGAGCAGAGAGCCCCATGCGGGGCTTGATCCCAGGACCCCGGGATCATGACCTGAGCCAAAGGCAGAGGCCCAACCCACTGAGCCACCCAGGTGCCTGAGAAATAATTTCTAATACTAAAGTGATCTGGAAAGCTACCAAATACAGAGAATGTATTTCAAAAAATACCTGAAAGATCAAAAAGACATAGAAGCCTGTTCACAAATGCAACATCCTCAAAATGTCAGCAGCTTGGGGCGCCTGGGTGGCTCAGTCAGTGAAGTGTCTGCCTTCTGCTCAGGTCATGATCCCAGGATCCTGGGATGGAGTTCCACATCGGGCTCCCTGCTCAGCGGAGAGTCTGCTTCTCAATCTGCTCCTTGCCCTGCTCATCTTCTCTCTCTCTCTCTGAAATAAATAAATTTTAAAAATCTTACAAAAATAAAAAAAGTTCAGCTCCTTAGAATTTGCAAGTGACTAAAGCTTCAGAGAGAATTGATCTGCCAAACAGAGTCCCAGGGAGACCCTAGGCTTAGAGTTGTCTGGCACAGTAGAGGGTAGAAATAAGAAAAGCGCTAGACACAGAATTTAAAAACTCTTTAGGAAACCAAAGCACTTGAATTCTTCCAGATTCCTCTCCCCAGTATTGTCTCTCTTCACATCTATTTAGAATCCCATTCTTAAAAATGAATGAAGAATCAAAAACTGTCAGAGATAAGAAGAAAATCAACAGCATGAATGATCAGCCAAGGAAAACAACTAGGAAGACTCAGAGTCAGCTTAGGAAGCAAAATGAACTCATAATAAATTAATAATAT